AACATACACAATGTTATGGAATGGCAGACAAATGCAATAAGGTAATACACAACCGAGCATACACAATGCTATGGATGAAATGGCATACGCAATGCAATAATGGGCTTACACCAACATGAGAGAGCCTCAGCCACACTCACATAGGAGGCCATCAGATGAAAACAAGACAACTCGAAATGTGTGCACGCGTGCACGCAAACCGAAGACCGACCCTCAGGCACCAAAATGCCACTCTAATGAGACATGGCAAAGACATGGAGTATGATATGCAAACATGCAAAAATTAGTAGCAAAATGAGGGGGCAAAACAGCCCCGAAACAAGGCGAAATGACACCCGATGCATGGCATGCGACCTGAAATGCAAAATTAGGTACATGAAATGGCTTACAGCTATACAAAGCATACATAATTTGAACATGGAATGAAGAGACAGAAGCAAGGCAGCCCAAAAATAAGAATTTTTATAGTTCAAAGCATGGCCAAAAAGTAAGCACAAATAGGGAAAAACTAGCATGCAAAAATGGCCCTAAATGTGAGATAAAGAAGCAACTCACAGCTTTTGGCCCCAAAAAGCTGAGGGTCCTTCTACAATGTTGGAGAGGGACCCAAAATATGACATTTTACAGTTGATGGTTAGACCCAAAACAGTATGCAAACAAGCCAAAAATACTATGCAAAAATATGGCCAAAAGAGAGATATAACACAAAGTATATAAAGGATGCCTCAAACAGTAAAATACCCTCAATGAAACATGAAGAGGAGGCCAAAATAAGACTGTTTTCAGTTCTGAAAATCGCCCAAAAATAGAAGCACAATAGGCTAATAAATCATGCAAAAAAGGGGGACCAAAGAGGGGTATAATGACAAGTGGCACATGGAGGTCCCAAACAGTGATGAGCCCTTCTTCAAAACAGATCATGCTCCAAAACAGATCATACATAGGCCAAAAAATACTCCAAAACAGATCATACATAGGCCAAAAAATACTATGCAAAATTATGGCATATAAGAGGGATAATGAAGCAAGTGTAAGATGGGGACCTCAAACAGTGTTGAGCCCTTAATGAAACAAGAAAATGAGCTCAAAAAAATGACCTTTTCAGTTTTGGTCGGAGCTCAAAACAGCAAGCAAAGAGGCTAGAAAAAAGTTGCAAAATTAAGCTCAAAAAGAGGGAATTGGTGCTTACCCTTGAAGACCAACCCTTGGATGCTTCTTGGCTTGAGAAGTGATGCCTCCTAGCTGCTGGAAAGCTCCCCAAGCTGCTAGAAATAGAGTAGTGGTGGTGATGCTAGGTGGTGATGAAGAAAAAGTGGTAGAACTTGGTTGTTTGATCTTGAAAGAGTGAGATGGAGGGAGATGTAATGCCAAGGGATTGAGGGGAAATTTTCTAACCCTAAACCAGCAGCTGGTGCTGCTGATATATAGGCACAAAAGGGGGGAAAATGGAGGGAAAACCAACCAAGTTTCCCTCCAAAATGGCAACTCCCTCCCGGATACCAAATCCGGAGAAAATGAATACATATTTGTAATGTACCAACCCTGAGGATCATGGCCGGCCAGTTATCCAAGCTGCAGGTGGCCGGCCAACTACCTTTCATGGCCGGCCGGCCAAGGGTCAAAAAGGTCAATGAGAATTAGTGGCCGACCATATGATATTGGTGGCCTCCCATGTGTGCACAACACAACCATGTGGTCAAAAACTGGAGAAAGTGAACCAGGAGAGAGAAAAGCCCACTTTTTGGAGGGGTTCAAAAGGGTCAATCAACATTAGTGGCCGACCACCAACTTTTGGTGTCCTCCCATATGTGTACATCACAAATATGTGGCTAAAAGTTCGAGAAAATGGCCCAAGGGTGTTCAACATTGGCTTGGAAGTGAGAAAAAACGGGCGTCGGAGGGCGCCGGAGGAATATAACTCTCATTCTATAAAAGAAAAAAAATTGTTTAACACATACTCATTCATCATTGGTTGCATTAAAACATAAGATTAGTACAAAATAACCATACATGGCAACTACAATAGAGGTCTCATCATTGGGTGCACAACTTAGCAAAAAAACACATGATCTACAAGCCACCTACAATCATTTGAAGAGTAATACAACTGACAGAACAATACAAATTGTGAGCAAACCCACAACAAGCTGCTTCATAAATGTTACGGATTGCTCAAGCATTTGGTTTTTCACTTGTAGTCCTACAGTCTCGATGTTTTGATTTTGATAAAGATTTGTCTCGTTCCTTTGCCTCTCTACCATCGTCACAGATTTTGGGGTACACCACCTCCAAAATTGACAATTTCTCTTCTCACAAATTACATACAGTTTTCCATGGAGGTGGTTAAGCGGTCCCGAACCAAGGCACACGGCCAACGGCTCCGAAAAACCGGAAACCGGACTCCAAACGGGCAAAATGGCCTACGACCACAAAACGTAGCCTACGGCCACTGAGAGATGGCCTACGAGACCTCTCCCTCCCTTCGTGAAGAGAAAACAAAGAAAACCGAGCTTGGTTCGCAAACCGAGGCAAAGCACGAAAGGGTCCGGAGGTCCGGAGGCAAGGCTCGCAGCCGAGACTCTGAAACCTCTGAACGAGCACGATATGCAACATTCCTCTAAGATTGATTGGGAACTTAAAGATGTTATACATGACTAACACTATTGTCCATGACCAACTATGTAAACAGAAACAGTTTTCATGCATTGGATTGAGTAACCCTTATTGATACAATGAAAATATTTGCACACTTTGGCCTTGCAAAAAAAAAAAAAAAAAAAAAAAACAATTTGAAACTGTTTTTGGTTCAGCTACACTTTGGACACTTTGGATTCAGCACAATTTCAAACTGTTAACGGTTCAGAAAACACATTAAAATAAAACATTTTCCTTTCCTCCCTCATTCTCTTATGCAATAGAATTCAGCACATGGTCCCCCTTGAACAAAAAATTCATTCATCTTTCTACATTAGGGAAATTATAATATTCGTTCCTAAAGCATAAGGAGGTCTATGGTTAAGGGAAAAATAAGCAACTATGAAAAATTCAAATACATACATAGGCATAATGTTAAAAACCAAATATTGGTATACACCACCTAATATCTTTTCTCTTATTCTGCCTTCATCCCTTCTGAACTTTTGTCTAACCCCTTTGACTATTTAAGTCATTTACTTTTATTGGAAATAGTCTTTCCTCAACAGAATATGATGTTCATTAAAGTTTCTCCATTTAGAACAAACAGTAATGATGGGATATTCAGAGAAAAATAATTTCAAAAAAATAATTTTCTCCATTTAAACTGGAACAACAGAGAATAATTTCAAAGAAAAATAACTTTAATTTACGAAAATTAACATTAATTTCAGAGTAAATAAAAGTTCAATTCACATTAAGATGTTATTTACGAAAATAAACTGAATGACAGAAAAATAAAATCAATATCTAAATAACATTCTTGAACTTCAGTTCACACTTCACATACAGACACACACAATCTTCAGCAAAAAGAAGGGGGGGAAATAAGAAGAAGTTCCACATTGGGATATTCAGTCATATATCTTCAGATAAAGTAAACAGAGCATACATTTCTTCTAGAGATAGAGATGACAGATAAGGGAGAAGGCAAAGCCAAGGGCAAGATGGAAGAGGAAAATTCAGATGGAGAGGCCGCCTTCAACTTGAAACCAAAGGGTGAATCGGAGGAAGAACAGAGAGTGTGATCTGTCTGTAAACCCTAGCTCAAATGTGTGTGTGTGTGTGTGTATATATATATATATCACAAAAAAAGGCATGTACTCTTACCTTTTGTAGTGCAGATCTTGGAGAAATCTTCGACTTCGATCGACTGATCTTGGAGAGATGTGGAGGATCGTCTTTCGTCGCTAAGGAAATGAGAAGACGAGAGTGAGAAGAGAAGTGAG